TTAAGCTACCAAGGAATACTTTTTATAATCTCATTCCAAATTCTATTAAAAGCTGGTAATTTCTAAAACACTGAGTGTTCTCTGACTGCCAGCAAAGAGACTTCATCCATCCATTTATAAATACTGATCTTCCTTTAGCCAACACAAAGTGTTGATAGCCACAGCTTCTGTTCTACATGCAGACGGGATAAGCCATCAGAAACAACATTTTCATTGACTGTACAAAGAACATTAAACAAAATATTCTCAACTACATTCTTTTTAGAGGTATAAATTACAGTACATGTTGTTGACAAAATAAGTTATCATGCAAGCCTGGTACTGTGTGCACTTGTTCTGGCAAGAGCTGCACAGAAGTGGACAGGGCATTAAGTGATAGGGAGTGGATGGGGGCAAAATTAAAAACTGGCAGGTCTACTCCTTCGACTTCCGTTCCCCCCCCCATCTCAATCTATTGCCTTCTCTTCCTCCTTTCCCTTCCTCCTTGTCCAGCAGGACTGATAAGGGCAAGAACATATGTTCTTGCCAGAGATCTTAACTAATGGCTTTTAAGGAAGGACATCTCAAATGATGTCAAAGGTTGCAGGTTGCCCACCTCTGACATAAAAAGAATCCTGTCACAACCTAAACGTCTGCAATGTGCATGAAACCATAACATTAAGTTTGCCAGTTTGTCAGCTAGATGCGATGTCCAATGCACTTCTGTTCTTAAGCACATAGTTTATGACTTTGTCTAATTCATTTTTTAAATTAGCCATTCATGAACCACAGGACCTTGGGAATTTTCTCACGTCAGACCTCTGCCACTTTTGCTCCTATGAACAAAATAATGGCCAATAAATTCCCTGAATCGGGGATGCCTATTTTTGTTCCAACAAGTAAAGTACTTAATAATAATCTTAAAACTGCAGAGCTGGAAGGGGACGTATGGAGCACTGAGTTCAGACCCTATCAGGGAGGAACAGTGGGGAACCAAAATCCCAACCTACCTAATTGAGCTATCCAGCATGACCTGAACCAAGTTTGCAATATGATTCCCAGTAACTGCAATTCTGATCTTATTAATCCTAAATCAAATATACATTCTGTGGCGTGGGTAATGCTGATCCTCAGCAGCTACAATTCCATGAGTATTCATTTTGCATTTTTAAAAAAACTGGTGCATTTGCACTTTGGCACAAACACAAAGGGCACATGAAGGAAAAGTACTAAAGTAATGGAAAAAGAGATTGTGTTGCAGGACAGAAGTGTAAGCAGCTGATGCAAGTTAAAATACTACCAATCAAATGTTTGGCAAAAGGAGAGGAAAATGACAAGGCCTGAAATGCACCTCTCCTACAAGGAAAATGTGTGGTCATCCCACTATAATAGCCTCACAACCATTTGTCCTCACAACCTGTGAAGTGGCATAGGCTGAGAACTAGGCCCAAAGTAATTTGGTAAAGCTGGTGATACAGAAGGGATATGAACCCAAACCTCCCTGGTTTATATGTAGCACTCTGCCCACTGGACACACTTCTCTTTCTCATAAACATCTACCCTCCATAATATTAACCTCTTTTGTTTTTAATGACACCCTAGGTGCAGGTCATGTAGCAGCAGCACTGCATCCAGGGGGAGGAGGTAAAAGTGGCAAGTATTCCAGAAAGAGAAGAGTTTGCCAGCTGCTTCATGGAGCCTTCCTCTGTCACATGCACCAGCAGCACTTGACGACACTGAAACACTCTGCAAGTGGACACAGCATAAAAAATAATCAGACAAGGGGGGGCAGTGGGGAAAAACTGGCTTTGATGCCTTGAAGTAACAGCCAAGGCATTTTAGATTACTAGAAACATGTTTTATCATTGAGTGTGAGCAAGGAGACGCTAATGCGCCGTCCTCTGAGATGTCCGTCATGGAGGAAGAACACAGATGTTTAGAGGGGGTGTTGGTGGAAATAGATCAAGAGGGGATAGACAGGAAAGTGGCATTAGAGATATCTGTAGCCGATGACAAGGGGGAGGAGCTAGACTTACTTGTGTGGGAGGAGGTGTTAAAAGAGGGAGAGAACTCACGTTTGGTGGCATGTAATGGACAAAATATAAGGAGAGGAAAGAAGGACCAGGCGGTCCAGATAAAGAAAGACTATGAACAGGGAGATATATGTGGATTGCTGAAGGAGTTCCCCAATGTGCATACCGAAGGAGGTCAGCTACGTGATCCGGAAGGTAAAGGTGCAGAGAGGAAAAGCCTTGAATCGCTGGAATGGAGGGTGGTTGTGTACCCATGCAACCAACATTGGGGGGGGGGCAGAAAGTGATTTGTTCCAATCCCTCTTTACTCTGGCAGCAGCGCGAGGGGGATTGGGCGAGACACCCCTGCTGTGGCACAGTGTGTGCAGTGAGAAGTACTCCTTGGAGGCCTATGACGGACAGGGAACAATTTGGGCCAGCCCCGATGTGAGGAGTGACTGGACAACCCCTGATGTTAAAGTAAGAAGCTACAAGATTTTGCCTGAATTAAGTTTAATTGACCCATTAGAAGCTGTTGAATTAGATGTGTTAAAGAATAAAATAGATCCTGTTAAACATTCAAACCAGCCTCCGTCTCTCTTTCCCGCACAAACTTGGGGATCGTCCCTGGAAAGAGAAGAACCGGATCACACTCAGCATATACAATTCTAGTACTTTAACATCCTTGGTGAACAGGAATTTGACCAGAAAGGTGTGAAAGGGTGCAGTCCTACCTGAATGTATTACAGTGGTGCCCCGACTTACGCACATCCCTACTTATGACCATTTTGACATACGACCAGCTCCAGCTGCCATATTTTGCTTCTACTGTACTTGCGGATGGAGTTTCCACTTATGAACAAAAAAGAGGCAGGGGAAAAGGGCAGGACATTCAAATTGCTAACCGTTGGTGGTGAAAAGGCTGCTTCTTTGGACAGTAGCTCTTTCATCCCAACGGTTAGAGAAGGAGTCCCCTAGCCAGTCCAGACCCCTGCAGGCTGGGGGCATCTGGGACAGTTGCCCGGAGGGCGAGGCTGGAGTGAGCGGCCAGAGTGCCCTGGCCAGGCTTAGCCTCCCGCAACTCAGGGCAACAAGGGGACAGAACCTGATTCCTCCATGCAGGGAGGCGAAGGCTCGAAAGCTGTTGCTGGAGCGGAAGGCGCCACCGAAGGAAAGCTGTGCAGCCAGGCGAGCGCCGCTGCTGCCCAATGGGCTCCTCCGGAATACCTGCAGCCTCTCTCCTCCAACCCCATCAAACCTATTGAGGTCAGTATGGCGAGCTCTCGGAAGCCCCCGCCACCCACACCCCAGGGAGCACTCGGGTGCCCCAGCGTTTCCCCGGGCCGACCTTCCCTCTTGGCTGCTTCGCCAGACGCTCAGTCCCGAGCTTTGCTTGCCTTCTGTGGTGCGCTTGGGAGAGACGGACCTGCCCGGAGCCTTCGCCTCCCTGCGTGGAGGAATCAGGCCTGGTCCCCTTGTCGCCCTGAGTTGTGGTGGTGGCGTCCTGGCGCCGGGAGGGTGAACCTGGCTGGGGGGCTCAGGGGCTTGCTCTATTTTTGGTTATTTTTAAAGCCCTAGCACCTTCCAATAGGGCTTTCTGTGTACCTTTTTTTTTAAATGCTGGAATGGATTAATCGTGTTCCAATGAATTTCAATGGGAAATTATGACCATTTCAAGTTATGTCCATCTTCTGAAATGGATTATGGTCATAAATTGAGGCACCACTGTATTCTGAAGTGTATCACATGCTAGAAATAACCTGATGCATTGTTTTTATTGGTGACAGTTAGAAGGAATATTCCTCTTAGATTCTTGCTTGGAAAATAGCTATCATGCCCTTTTCAAATTGATTTTCTGAGGGGCTATTAATGTCCTAGCCTCTATTTATACGGAAAACACCAAAAGTGATCATATTGTGTCACCATTAAGTCCTAGCATTAATGTCCCTAGCATTTACTTCTATTGCAAAACATCAAGAGCGATCATCTAGTGAATAACATCAATTCTGGAGGAAAGGTAACAAGGAAAGATCCTGCAAGACAAGAGCAAACGGAACAACAAACCAGCCCTTTCAACTTCACTCGCCTCCAAACATAGCCCCGGCCGGGCACGATCGCTCACGAACGGAGCCTGACTCCCCCGCGTCGCTTATAATAGCACCGCCCTCGGCCGCGCTGCCGCCTACAATGAGGGCACGATCGCTCACGAACGGAGCCTGACGCCCCCGCCTCGCTTATAATAGCACAGCCCTCGGCCGCGCTGCCGCCTACAATAACACCCTACCTACCTACCTACCTACGCTGTTGCTCTGAAGCAGGCCTATTAAGCGCCTCCACCACCAGCGGAGGCTGGCGGTGGGAACTGGGGAAAGAGACGTTTTCCTCCGAGACCGGCGGGTTCAGGCGGCCCAAGCAGTCCCTACCCGGCGCTGCCGCAGTCTCGGAGCGATCCGAGGCACTTCCTTGGAGGAATGGATCCCCGCTCCCGGAGGTCCCCCCTTCACAGAAGGCTTGGCCCTCGGGCTGTTTAAACGGTCCAGCCCCGCCCGGCCCCAGGTGGCGGCCGTTTCTCCGCCCAGACGGGCGCCTCGGGAGCCCGAGCCGGAAGGATGCTCCTCGCCTGAGCGAGACAGAGGGAGGCGGGCGGAGGAGACGACGGGAGACGAGGAGGTCTCCGGCGCCTCTCGCGGGCAGGGCTTGGCGCATCCATCGCTCCTGAGCACCATCTTGCGCACCCCACCCCGGTTCAAGCTGAGCGATGGCAGCCGCAGTTGGGGGTGGGGGTGGGGGTGGGGGGGAAAGAACTGCGGAAATTCCCTTCCGTGCCTCCCTCCCTCCCCAACGGAGCTGCATTACAACACCACGCCTAAGGCCGGGGCGCTTTTCTGAAATGCCCCTCTCCCTCTCCCTCCCCCGAAATATTCCTGGCAGGCGCCCGGCACCCAGCCCGCTGCCCCACTTCGGCCTCTCCCTCGCTGGATGACGAGGATGAGGAGGCCGCCGCCTTACCTGTGCCGGTGCTCATGTTGCGTCGCTTCCACCTGCAGCTACCGCCGAGTGGCCACCGTCGCTCGGGCCGGCGAAGAAGGAGGAGGCATCCCCCGGGGCCACTCCACCACCCAGAAAACTTCATCCATGGATCATACTATCAGTGGAGAGGAGGATCCAGGGAATGGGACTCCAGAAGCATATCTCTTCCAGGCTGTCATGTGCATGATGATCTCAATAGCAGAAGAGCACTGCTTAAGGACAATAAGGACATATACAACCTTTTGTTCTAGACCAGTGGTTCCCAATCTTGGGTCCCCAGAAGTTCTTGGATTACAACCTCCAGAAATCCTGGCCAGCACAGCTAGGGGTGAAGGCGTCTTCCCGCCCGCCCGCCGGCTTTGCAGTCGCAAACAGCCTCGCCCTAAGGCGGCCGTGGGAACGGAGCGGGGCGGCCGGGCTCTCCGCGAGGGGCCAGCGGCTGGCTTGGGAGCCCTGCCTGCCCCTGTGAAGACAGCTGCAGTATCCGGGGCGCCGCCACCTCCTGCTGTAGCCGCGTGACGGATGATCTTTTTTTCACTCGGTGTCAAGCGTATAATATCCCTGTTGCAAGGCTGGATGTTGAGCTTGGAGCGTGAGGCACGCCTGTCCTGTCCTGCCCGACTCCTCGCTCGGCATGTGGGCGATGAGCGGCATTCGGGCCGTGCATTTATTTGCCCTGCGTCAGACCGAAGCCCCGAGAGAGAGGGGGGGGGCTGGTGCCTCATAGGCAGGGGACAGGCTCCCTGTCTCAGTAAGCCGAAGCTAACAGGAGACTCAGAAACCCCCGCGCCGTATCCCTAAACGTGGCCTGGGGCGGTCGATCCATTCCTCCATATTGTGCAAGGCCAGTGCTTCTGAAGGGAGGAGATGCGGTTGTATCTCTTAAGGGGCCATTCTCCCCGTCACATCCAGGTAGATGTCGCCCAAGGGTCGTGTTGGGGTGCGTCACTTTAGTTGCTTGGTCAGAATAGAATCTGTTTCAGATATGCAGATGAAGAAGAACTGATACGGTTTAGCCTAGTTGCATTAATAGGGATACTGTATAGATAAAAGTAAAGCAAAACTATCCATTCTGCAAACAAAGAAAATCGTGGTTCAGTTTATAATTTTAATGTTAGAACTGCAGAATTGGAATGAGTCATTGAGTTTGGTCCCTGGCAGGGAGGGACAGTGGGGAAGTAAACTTCTGACCTGGCTCTACAGCCAGATACCTAAACGACTGAAGCTAGTTCCATAAATTAATCCTCCAAAGCCTCTTTTTATCCCAATGAGAGAATATTTTTGGGATCTAATTTTAGTGGTGTTTAGATATGTTGGTCAGCTCATTTGCTCTGATTTTTTTTCAGGCAACATTTGGTTGCAAGATTGCTTTGGCTTTTGTATATCCTTTTTGACGGATTCATTATAACGGGCAGAAAGGGCTTAAGATCATGACCAACAGAAGAATAGACAACAAGCTTAGCATTAGGCCTGATGGTCCAATTTCATTAAGTGTAATCATGAAACTTGAAGGGGAATTCCCAGTGCTACCATTACCAGGGTCAAGAGATGCTTTATTTTCCACTGCAATGGAATTACTTAACATACTTTTTCTTTTCTTATGTTTGAATTGCTGCTCTTCACTTCTATGGAGGAAATTAAACACTGCACTTGGAAGGGATTACCTTGTGAAGGGGTTTTCCAACTACTGGCTGAAATCTGATTTTGCAACATTGAAAAACACAACTAGACCCATTGAAACAGTGGGGATTTTGTGAGTCAGCTTCTCCATAAATTGCATTGATTCAGTGAATTTGTTGTGACTTGGGCTATTTGTATTCAAATCCCTAGGGGTATGAACAGGAATAGCAGCACCACAGGTGCCATGGAGTTCCATTTCCTCCCCCACTCTGAACCACCCAGTCCACTCACTAGTTGCTGTGCTGCACTGGGGTCCTTCGCCATCATGCCAATCATGGAAGGTGCCTGGTTGGCTCTTCCCCACATTCCTGCACACCCGACCACTGTGGCAAGGAGGCAGGGTGGGGAGTCTTCCCACTCAGTTGATGAATGGTCAGCTGCATGGGGAGGTGGGTAAGAGCCAGCCAGGCTCCTTCTGTGATTAGCACAACAACGATGACAAAGGTCCTGCATGGGGACTAGTGAGTGTACCAGATTATTCGGGGGGGGGGGAGAATGGACCTCTGTGGCACCTCTGGTGACACCTTTCATATTCATAGCCACTGGGATACAAATAGCCTATGTCTAGTTGTGACTTGCGATGTTAAGCAACAGGACTGCAGCCTGTTTGGTACCAACAAGTACCAAATATCAATTAAATGTATGCCTTGCCTTACAAAATTGTAACTAAAACATAAAAGTACTTCAAACATAAACTGAAATACAGTACACCTTTAAAAATGAACAAGGAGGTAGTTTCTCCGATCTGTGAGAAAGAGGACAGTGCCAAGCTACTGACCATGCTAACATGAATAATTTGGATTGACAAAGATAGAGGCAGTGGGTTTGGTGAAATTCATGTAGAAAGCTGGTTGGAATAACTATAGTTACTGTCAATCAAAATAAAAAATAACATTTTATATAATATGTCATTGTTTCTAAAATATGCTTGCAACTAGTGTCAAAAATAAAGCATTGGAAGTTAATATAAATCCATTATGTCCTAATTTTTCTGGGTTGAATGGGTTGAAGAAGCAGGATACAATTAGATGGCAGGAAAAATGCTGAGAAGTCAGATGGGGAAATCAAGTTTCACAGGTTAATGTGCTTTAACCCAGTTAAAGCAGTGGTTCTTAACCTTAGGTTACTCAAGTGTTTTTGGACTGCAACTCCCAGAAGCCTTCACCACCAGCTCTGCTGGCTGGGGTTTCTGGGAATTGCAGTTCAAAAACACCTGAGTCACCCAAGGTTAAGAACCACTGCTTTAACCCAGTGGTTCTTAACCTTTGTTACTTGGATGCTTTTGAACTGCAAATCCCAGAAACCCCAGTCAGCACAGCTGGTGGTGGAGGCTTCTGGGAGTTGCAGTCCATAACTCCTGAGTAACTCAAGGTTAAGAACCAGTGCTTTAACCCACCTCACAGGAGCCAGCAGAGAGTGAGAGAAAATCAGTTTGGTTTGCAGCTTGTTAACTGTTTGAATCCTATCCTCCACACCTGGGGCCTGTGACTTTTTCATTCAAAGTAATGAAAAAACAACAGCAATATGATGAATTACTCCTAAAGAGTATGTAGTGGTAACATGAAAAAGTTACTTTGTAGGGGAACTTCTAATAAGTTACATAACGCATTGCTTTATTAAAGGCAACTTTCCAGGCTGTAAAGCAAACAATTTACCCAATCAAGGCCTGGAACTCACACAAGATTTTTTTAAATCTTGGGCTGGACCTAGAGTGAAGATTGTAAGGAAATAGTCCTTTGATCTGAGCCTTGTATTTCATTGCCTCACAATCAGTTCCTGGGCTGGTGAGCTGGCAGGGAGGGTTGTGAGGTTCACAGTTTAAAGAGGAGTGCATTGGTTTCCAGAGGAGAATCTCTCTTTAATGAATCCAGTTGAGTAGTTTTTAGATCAAGTCTTCCTCACTTACACCACTGATTTTTCTGATCCAGCTATGTTGTATTGCTGCCTGCTTCTCAAGGTCAGGATCATATCATAAATACTTTTGCAGATAATTATTATTCAGTGGTCAGATAATCCACTGGTCTAAGACCAAAGTGAAATTGATTTCATTTTGGCTCATGTTCCACAAAGTGAGGAAACTGGAAGCCAAGGTTTGAGCCTCTAACAAATGCACTTTGTGATAAGGAATGATTCTGTATTACCTCATAAACTGCACTTGTTTACAGTGTACCCTGTGCACATCTATAGTATGCTTTGGTCTTTGAGGGCCAAATCCAGATACAGTGGGGTCTTGACTTGAGAACTTAATCCATATTGGAAAGCGGTTCTCAAGTCAAAAAGTCTGTAAGTCAAGTCTCCATTGACCTACAGTGCATTGAAAACCGATTAATCCCGTAACAGGCCGTTTTTGTTCCATTTTGGTTTTTTTCTGGTCTGTAAGTCAAATCTCAGTCTGCAAGTCAAACCTAAATTTTGCAGCCAGAGAAGTCTGTTACTCAAAAAGTCTGTAAGTCAAGCCGTCTGTAAGTCAAGGGTCCACTGTAGGCAAAATGATCCACCCAGTAATAGCTAAAATAATCCAGATGTAGACATGGGCTGTTCATATTCATATCCCTGGATATGTGAATACAAATAGTGGCACCATGGGTGCCGCGGAGGTCCATTCCCTCCTCCCAGAATCACCTGGTCCACTCACTGGTTGCCGCACAGTGTTGGGGTCCTTCATCATGGAGCCTTCCTCTGTCACATGCAGCAGCAGCACTTGACGACACTGAAACACTCTGCAAGTGGACACAGCATGAAAAATAATCAGACAAGGGGAAACACTGGCTTTGATGCCTTGAAGTAACAGCAAGGCAATTTAGAATACTGTACAGTATTGGAATCATGTTTATCACTCAGCATATACAATTCTAGTACTTTAACATTCTTAATGGACAGGAATTTGTCCAGAAGGGTGTGAAATGATGCAGCCCTACCTGAATGTATTATTCTGAAGTGCATCACATGCTAGAAATAACCTGATGCAATGTTTTTGTTGGTAACAATTAAAAGGAATATTCCTCTTAGATTCTTGCTTGGAAAATAGCTATCATGCCCTTTTCAAATTGATTTTCTGAGGGGCTATTAATGTCCTAGCCTCTATTTATACGGAAAACATCAAAAGTGATCATATTGTGACATAATTAAGTCATGTAATGGCAACAATCCAGAGAATATTGGAAGAGTATGGCTCCTAGGCTATGGAAAAAATTACAAATAGCTACAGTGTCAATAGACAGTCAATATGTAATTAAAACAAATCAAAGCACTGTGGCATCTTTATGACTAACAGATTTATTTTAGTTAAAGCTTTTGTGGATTAGAATCCATTTCCTCAGAAGAAATAAAACTATCAGTTTTAGAGGTGCCACAATGCTTTTGTTTTGGTTTGTTATACAGACTAACATATACGAGAAAGGCTACCTCTTTGAAAATAAATAGTAAAAACGTGGATCCATACAATATTGAGTAAGTCACAACTAGAGTAGACTCATTGAATCAGCAGTGTTTTGGTGATTCAAATCCTCCATAAGTTCCATTGATTCAAACTGACCTACCCTAGTGTAACTTACTAGAGCAGGTTGCTCTAGTAACTTACTTAACTTGCTTAAGCCCTTAAGCAAGAGGACTTCAGCCATTAACTAAAACAACATGAACAAAAGGAGTTAATTGACTTAGACCTAAACAGGAGAGAGAAAAAAGCCCAGCACAAAATAAAATTATACTCCACAGAAACCAAATAAATCTTACTTCTACAAAAGGAATCTGGGGCCTTCCACAGGTAATCAGCACACCTTGGCTGGTACTGGCAACGACTTCCTGTCTACCCTGTGGCAGCCTTCCTCCCAAGTGTCACTGTGGCTTCCTGTCTATCTCTTCCCCATCTCTTACTTGGAGAGCTAGAGAATGCTGCTGATCCCTTTTCAAATTCCAAGTGCTGCTCTTGTTTTGTATATTATTTGGTCTTTTTCTAGACCTTTTAAAGTATTATGCACTATTAGATTCCAAGGTGGCAGAACTAGGTAAGACTGGTAGAACCACTCAGCTTTCTTCCAAACACCTGTTCCAACACTCTGGTCAAATTGCAGGGTCTACCCAGAGTAACCCAAGGTGGTCGATTCCTTGCCTTGCTCTGAAAGCCATAATAGACCGAAGTACACAGACCCACTATCTTTCACCCCAGTCCTCCCTGCACAATCCTGCATTTTCATGTGTTGATGTTCCACAAGTGCAACACACAAATACATTTG